TATAAAGAACTTAACAGTAAATAAATCAGATAAGTAATGTTAAGTAATATTAAACCAAGAACAGTGACACACACCTGTAGTCCTACCTACTAAGAATGATGAAGTAGAACTCATGAACCCAGGAATTCAAGGCCAGTCTAGGCAACATATCTGGCCTCTTTAAAAAAAGTATTTAGTAAAATATATATTATGAATTAGTTTTAAAACTGAAGTAGTAAAAGAAAATACACATAGGCTATAGTAGGTTGGTTTAACTTGATGACTTTGTTTTTCTAATAATTTCTCTTTGCCATTAAAGAGCTTGGCTGATAATTATATTTTTTATTTACAAATATTTCAGATGTTTTAAACAGAAATAAAGATGAAGAGCCAACTGTGAAAGAAGAAATTGAGGAAGACATAGACCCACCAGGTGTAATAGTAACAAGAATCAAAAGTGAAATTGACCAAGATCCTATAGGTAGAGAAACCTTTGAACTAGTTGGTAGGTTAGATAAACAAAGAGGGATCTTCTTATGGGAAATACCACCTGAATCTTTGACCCAGGAACAGAAAATGTTCAGAGGGCACACTAATGTTCGCAAGAGACCAAACTCAGAAGAGAAGTGTCATAAATGTGAAGAATGTGGAAAGGGTTTTGTCCGCAAGGCCCATTTCATTCAGCATCAAAGGGTCCATACTGGTGAGAAACCATTTCAGTGCAATGAGTGTGGGAAAAGCTTTAGTCGAAGTTCATTTGTTATTGAGCATCAGAGAATTCATACTGGTGAACGGCCCTATGAGTGTAACTTCTGTGGGAAAACCTTTAGTGTGAGCTCTACTCTTATTAGACATCAGAGAATCCACACTGGAGAAAGGCCTTACCAGTGTAATCAGTGTAAACAGAGCTTCAGCCAGAGAAGGAGCCTTGTTAAACATCAAAGGATTCACACAGGTGAGAAACCCCATAAATGTAGTGACTGTGGAAAAGCCTTCAGTTGGAAATCACACCTTATTGAGCATCAGAGAACACACACTGGGGAGAAACCCTACCACTGTACCAAATGCAAGAAAAGTTTTAGTCGAAACTCATTGCTTGTTGAACACCAGAGAATTCATACTGGAGAAAGACCTCATAAATGTGGTGAATGTGGGAAAGCTTTTAGATTAAGTACATACCTTATACAACACCAAAAAATACACACTGGTGAGAAGCCTTTTCTTTGTATTGAATGTGGAAAAAGTTTTAGTCGAAGCTCATTCCTTATTGAACATCAGAGGATCCACACTGGTGAGCGTCCTTACCAGTGCAAAGAGTGCGGAAAAAGTTTCAGTCAGCTTTGCAACCTTACTCGTCATCAGAGAATTCACACAGGAGACAAACCCCACAAATGTGAGGAGTGTGGAAAAGCCTTCAGTCGAAGCTCGGGACTCATTCAGCATCAGAGAATACATATCAGGGAAAAGACTTCTCCATACAATGAAACTAAGGAAAGTTTTGATCCTAACTGCAGTCTTCTTATACAGCAGGAAGTCTACCCTAAGGAAAAATCCTACAAATGTGATGAGTGTGGGAAAACATTTAGTGTTAGTGCGCATCTGGTACAGCATCAAAGGATCCACACTGGTGAAAAGCCCTACCTGTGTACTGTCTGTGGGAAAAGCTTTAGTCGGAGCTCATTTCTTATTGAACATCAGAGGATCCACACTGGTGAGCGTCCTTATTTGTGCAGACAGTGTGGCAAAAGCTTTAGTCAACTTTGTAATCTTATTCGACATCAGGGCGTTCACACTGGTAATAAACCCCATAAATGTGAGGAATGTGGCAAAGCCTTTAGCAGGAACTCGGGCCTTATTCAACACCAGAGAATACACACAGGAGAGAAACCTTACAGGTGTGAAAAATGTGACAAAAGTTTTAGTCAACAACGCAGCCTTGTCAACCATCAGAAGATCCATACAGAGGTGAAAACCCAAGAAATTTATGAATGTGATGCTTGTGGTGAAGCCTTTAATTGTCAGATTTCTCTAATTCAGCATCAAAAATTGCATATTATGTGGATGCAGTAAAATGAGAGACATTTGTATGCCCAAATTTGAGACTAGCTACCGAAGTGCAGTTTTAGCATGGCCCCAATGTGGGTCAAATTTAGTGATAAAGCAATTTCTCCTTGGCCTTGTGCAAATAGTTTCTAAAGATCCTATGAATAGTGGACAGTGCCTGTGGGAAACTGACTTGCAATTACTCTTGGTTTTTGGAGCCATAGAGATTTGTTGGTCAGTCTAATCCCAACCTTTTAGTAGAATTGATTGGGCAAAACATAAGAGAAATGTTCTGAAAGACCAAATGAAATTAATGCAAGGGAACTAGGAGTTGGAGAGCTGGAAATAGTTCAAAAAGTCTTAGGTTGCCATCTCTTATAGTTGTCCTTCAGTTCCATGGTGTTTGGCTATCCATGTCAAACTCAGTGATTAAGCAAATGTAATTTGTGAAAGTCCAGATATGTTCAAAGTCACCATACACTGTTTATCACTGTCTAAGGAAAGTTGTTGAAAATGGTTTGTGAAAGGTGGGAGCTCCCCTGCTTCCCAGGTTGATAAAATGAGTGAATCAAGTTGTAAAGGTATTTGTAGGTAATTAAAACCAATAATGGTGTTACCAAGGAATCTTTAGGAGTCTCCCCCCTGACCCCCAAAATGGGCCTCAAAAGATAGAAAATTACTGGTTTATTTTGTGCTGTCCCATCTGTGAAACCTGTTTGTAATACTATATCAATATAAATTTATTCCTGCATAATCAGGAACATGTGAAAGTGTACATATTTTGATTACCAAGAACTGGAAATAAAAAAAGAGCTAAAGTATATGCTAGAAAGTTGAGATATTTTGGTATTTTTTAGGTTTTATGGTAGATTTGCATGCAAGTTTTAAATCTTCATTTCTTGTTTCTAGGTCCTTTAGTTACTACTTATATACCTATTAATTTATATATCTTAATCATTAAAACTTATTTGGGGTTTGCTTTGTGTTATTTGTTGCTTTAGGGTAATATCAGTCCTTATAGACTACTGTGTTTTGAAATCAGAATCAAAGGTTTGAAGGGAAGTACTACTTCTCTCCTTGTGACTCAGTAACATTTTTCTGGAGTACTTTAACATAAGATTAAATCTGGGTTCTTCAGGATCTGTGTTCAGAGTTCTAAGTCATCAAATCCTGACCCAAACCCTATAAATTTGAGCAAATGAGCAAATGGCCTTTTTCTTATATACCACTGTTTTTGGGTTTCTATTGCTGCCACAAAACACCATAACCAGAAAGCAAGTTGCGGGAGGAAAGGGTTTATTTGGATTATATTTCCACATTGCTATTTATCACTGAAGGAGTTCAGGACAGGAACTCAAACAGGGAAGGAACCTGGTGGCAAGAGCTGCTAGAGGCCATGGAGGGGTCCTGCTTACTGGCTTGCTCCCCGTGGCTTTGTTCCGTCTGCTTTTATATAGAACCCAGGATCACCAGCCCAGGGGTGACACCACCCACAATGGGCTGGGCCCTCCCTCATTGATCACTAATAGAGAAAATGCCTTACAGCTGGATCATGGAGTCATTTCCTCAACTGAGGCTCCTTCCTCTCTGATGACTCTAGCCTGTGTCAGATTGACACAGAACCAGCCAGTACAACTGACCCCTTGTCAACTTGACACACAAGCACATCAGTATTAAGCAACAACCTTTCCTTTCTTAATTCATCCCCAAGATCTCACATAAACAGGATACATAAATTTAAAAGTCCCACAGTCTTTACAAATTCAAACACATCAAATTTTCATCCCTTTAAAATATCCAATCTCTTTTAAAATCCAAAGTATCTCAACTGTGGGCTCCAGTAAAATACATTCTTACTTCAAGAGGGAGAAATCAGGGCACAGTCACAATGTGAACCAAGCAAAACCAAATTCCAACAGTATTAATAACTCAATGTCCAGCTCTCTGGGGTTCACTCACGATCTTCTAGACTCCTCCAAAGGATTTGGTTGCTTCTCTGGCCTGCCCTCTGCAGCACAGTTTGTCTTCTAGGCTCTGACTGGCTCCACGCCACTGTTGCTACTATTATTGGTCCTCCCATGGTACCGGCATCTCTAAAACACTGGAGTCCTTTACTGCAACTGGGCTGCATTTTCACCAATAGTCTCTCATATGCTCTATTCATGGTGCCAACTCTCAACTTCCTTTGCATGGCCTCTTCAGTCCTGGGCCTTCAACTGCTACTGAAGCTGCAGCTTCACCAATGGCCTTTCCTGTTCTCCTCTCACGGTGTCAAGCCTCAGCTGCTCTCCATGACGCCTTCTTGCCTTTAAAACCAGTACCACCTGGGTGACTCTTATACATTACCAAGTCCAGCTGCCAGCACAAGGTACAACCTTAGCCACCTCTGGAACACAGCTTCTCTCCGTTCTCAGGAAACACTTCCCAGAAGATTTCACCTCAATGATGCTGAAAGTCTCCTCTTAATCACCACTAATTTCTTAGCTCCAGCTGACCAGCATCAAGTATTCCAGCAAAGCAAAGTTATGCTTTAGTAGTTTTGGTATCTTGTTAATCATAGCTGATTCTTCAGTCCCAGCTAACCAGAGTCACAGAATTTTAATTCAAAATACCAAATAGCCCAGATAGTCTTTAAACTTCCCTTTGAAACTTCACAAGCCAGGCCTCCATCCTCTGCACTGCTCTCAAGATTCTTATCTCCCAAGCTCCTAAATAACATCCCACTTAACACTCAATGGTTTTTTTAGCCTAAAGTTCCAAAGTCTTTCCACAATCCTCCCAAGACATTGTCAGGTCTGTCACAGCATTACCCGACACCTGGTACCAAAGTCTGTTCTCTAGAGCCACAGAACTTATGAAATGAACCCCCCCCATATATATATATATATATATATATATATATATATATATATATATATATATATATATATATATATATATATATATATATATATATGGGGATGACTTACAGGCTGCAGTCCAACAATGGCTAGCTGTGACTGGAAAGTCCAAGAATCTAGTAGTTGCTCAGTCCTATGAGGCTGGGTGTCTCAGCTGGTCTTCTGTAGATGCTGGAATCCTGAAGGAGTAGGCTCCAATGCCAGAGAAGGAATTGATATTCTGACAAGCAGGTGAAGAATGAACAAATGCTTCCTTCTTCCTTTGTCCTTATACAGGATTCCAGCAGAAAGTGTGGCCCAGATTAAAGATGTGCCTTCCTACATCAAGATCCGGATTAAAAGTGTGTGTCATCCCACCTCAATATCTGGATCAAAAGCCTGTGTTGTCCAGTCTCAAGATCCAGATCAAAAGACTTGTTGTCTTCCTGCCTCAAGATCTGGATCACAAGTGTGCCCTCCATTTCTGGATTGCAGTTCATGCCAGATATAGTCAAGTTGACAACCAAAAAACAGCCATCAGAACCACCCATTCTAAAATTCATTTTCAAGTGTCCTGGCCTCAAATATTGTGTGTGTTCATATAAATGTTGAGACTGTATAGGTATGATAATATATCTGTACATCCTGTTGTTACATTGTCACTATACAGTTAGAAATTTCAAAACAGTATGTCCTTTAAAACTAATTCAGCCTGTGAGATGGCTTAGCAAATGAAGAAAGGCCTTTTCTCCCAAAGTGTGACTTCCTGATGGAGAGAACACCTGCACTTTGTCCTCTGACTTCCACATTGTCACTTGGCAGCCACATATTCTCAACACAAAATAATGTTTTAAATGAGCCTACTCATTAAACTGCATCTGCCCTACACCTTCCCAGTTTATTTTACACCAATGGTTCCTAGGTCAAGGTCTCAACTAATGATGAGGCTTCTTAGAACTCCTCTCAATGTCTTAAAAAAACCTTAATGCAAAGTGTGTTTTCACTGAAAGCTTAGATAAGCTAATCTATTCTAGCGACAAGTCTATAATTCTTTATCCTAATTCCTTGAGACCACGTGTTACCGAAATCAGATTGTTTTCAGACTCTATGGAGAAAATGTAATGCTAATACCGTTTATTACATAATTCTCCACAGGGCCGTGGCAGTGCCTCGAACACAGTAATAACTTTATTGTACCAATGACAGTCTTAGGTCCATTTTGCTGCCAAATAATTTCCTGCAAACTTATATGAAAACTCAAGGTTTTCAGAACATTTTTGATTTTACAACTGTGAATAATGGATTGTGAGCCTATTGTTGAGATGTACTGACATGTTTATTCTCTCAACAATACATGAATATATATATATATATATATATATATATATATATATATATATATATATATATATATAATTTATAGATGACACCAAGCCACAAAGTATAATGTGTCCATGGGCCCACAGCTAGTGGTAAATACAGATTTTGAGTGTAGTTAGGGTGTCTGTTGCTGTGATAAAACAGCATGACCATAAACAACTTGGGGAGGAAAGGGTTTCTTTCATCTTACATCTTACACTCCATCGTGACAGGAAGTCAGGACAGGAACTCAAGCAGGAAGCTGGAGGCAGGAACTGAAGCAGAGGTCATGGAGGAATGCAGCATATTGGCTTGCTCCCCATAGCTTGCTCAGCCTGCTTTTAGCACCTAGGACCACCTGCCCAGGGGTGGCACCACTCATAGTGAGTTGGGCCCTCCCCACTAATTAAGAAAATGTCCCACAGACTTGCCCATAGGCTAATCTGATGGAGTCATTTTCTCAATTGAGGTTCCTTCCCTCTTCTCAAATGACTCCAGCTCATGCCAAGTTGACATAAAACTAGCTTATACACTAAATTTAAAATCCTTTGAAGAGGAGTTTCCAAAGTGTAGTAGCATAAGTCTCACTAACTGGATTTGAGACCTTGAATGACTAATTAGGGTACTGGAACTCAGTTTGCTCCTCTTGCTGGGAGACCCCTAAAAAGCTAAATCAGGTGAACCTGCAGTCCACTTTTGGCTTGGCTTAATGTCTTCCCCATGATGTCTGTAAGTGTTTGAAGGCTTCTATTCTCATTGTCACACACATTATGATTATTAAAAATCATCTCAGTATCTCAGTTTTGAAAAGCATAATGTAGGCTCATATTTGAAACAGCGTTCTCTCACAAGAAGATATGTCTTTAGATTGTTAATGGTTCCCCTTCTCTTTGAAGGTCTTTTAGTTTCCATCCCATAATTACAACTTCTGTACATCACTTAAATGTCGTCACCTCCTATATTATACCAAGTCCCTAGTTGGCATCTCCTCCCTACTTACTAACTCCCGGTCAGTGGCTTCTGAGCTTTCTTTACTGCTTAAGCTTCTTTGGCATGCAGGTATCTGTTGTTTGAAGTCTAAAATGGTCTTATAATAAAAACCTGGAGCCAAATATTAGGGTAAATGCTGAAAAATCAGAGAGACAAAGGAACAAGCCACTAGAGAAACTTCTCACCAGTACTGAATCCTCAGGTCGACTGGAAGGCGAGATCCTGTCTCCATGAATCCTTTGACTGAATGCCTCTGAGTCCTCAGCCAAAAAGGCACTAGTTCCTGTCTCCTCGCCCCTTATATGCCTTTCTCCATCCAGCCATTTCACTTCCTTCCTAGTGCTTGGATTAATGGCGTGTGTGCTTTCCAAATACTGGTAGCAAAGGCATGAGATCTCAAGTGCTGGGATTAAAGGTGTGGGACTCCCAAGTACTGGGATTAAAGGTGTGTGCCACCACTGCCTGACTTCTATGTTTAATCTAGTGTCTGGCTCTGTCCTCTGATCCTCAGGCAAGCTTTATTTCATGCACAATATATCACCACAGGTATCATTTTCCCTAAAGACAAAATTTCTCTTAGTTACTTTCTATGTTTATATTCAGATTTTATTTCAGTATCTATTAATATATTTATTTGGTGATCAGAGAGACAATAGGGACTGGTTTAAAGACATGTAATAGTTCTCTTCATGTTACACAGGATTCAGGAAATTGATGTAAATAATACTTCAATGAGAAGTATAGCCCTTCAGTACAAAAAGTGTATCAGACAGTAGTAGTTAAGGAAAGTACTGTATAAAAATCCTTTCCCCCAGAAAAATGTAAATTAATCTTGACCAAAGATAAAGCCCTGGTTGATTATAATAAGTCCATGCTTAACCATTAATGGCATCTAAAAGGCTTGTTTCTAACATAGATTCAGATAATTATTAGGCAAGAAGAGATCTGTCACACAAGGTGCTACCTACAAGCTTTTAAGACAGTGTGGCACATGGAAGGAATAAAGTTCCTTCTTACTACATTGAACCCTGTACTATTGTAATGTTCCAAGTTGCAAATTCTAACCTGTGAAAAGGACAGCAGAAACATTTGACAGTTCTTATGCAAAGAAGTTGAATGAAAAGCAGTCCCTTCTTAAAAAAAAAAAAATATTGAAGACATCACCTGGTTCCTGGGATATAAATCCAAATTCAGATGGACTACCAATGTGACTTCTATCTTCTCCCCTACCATTTAATTCTTTGTCATACTTTGTCCCAGATTTGATAACACCTTAGCTACTTTGTAGTGGGTAGCCAGTTCAGCTTTGACCTGAAAATATCACCCCCATTGAGGCTTCGAGAGAGGACCCCTGAAGACCTGAGATCCAGATGGGCTGGCCCTCTTGGTTCCTGGATCCTGGACGCTGGTGGTAGACAGAGCAGAGTTCTCCAGAGAACACAGCTGGACTGCACTTCACCTTTCCCAGACCCTGTTACCTATCCCTTCACTTGTAAGTTACCCCACAAAATAAACCTCCCTTTTAACTATGTGGAGTTGCCTTAATAGTTAAACCAATACTACTTGTTTGAATTTTCTTTCTGCTTATTTATTCTCTGAATTTTTATCTAGATACTACCCTAGTGTCATTTTTCAGTGTGCCTTCTTGATATCCTCCCGTGAGGCATGTCCTTGCATACCTAGAACTTCATTAGTAACCTACTGTGTTTTCACAGATTGGAAAAAGTCTAGAATCTGAGGTCTGTACTCCTCACTTGCTCTACTGAGACAAACTCAAAGAGAAGTTTATTCAAGGCCAGTGCTGCAGAAATTATAATTTTTGCCTCAAATTCTCATGCTACAGAGCATAAGGTTTTGCTTATTGCCTAAAATGAATGAATGCAGTAAGAAATGCTGGTCTACAGCAATGGAAGAGTTATTGAACACTCCCAGCAACTTTACCATGACCTTCCTTTCTGGCTCTGTGTTCATTATAGAGCTGAAGCCAAATTACTCAGCATTAAAGTATCTGTGTGGCCCTTGGCAAGTAATATAAGTGCTCCAGGCTTTATGAGTAAAACAGAAGCCCTTTGCTAAATGACTTAGTTTTTTTTTTTTTTTTTTTTTGGTTTTTCGAGACAGGGTTTCTCTGTGTAGCTTTGCGCCTTTCCTGGAACTCACTTGGTAGTCCAGGTTGGCCTCGAACTCACAGAGATCCTCCTGGCTCTGCCTCCCGAGTGCTGGGATTAAAGGCGTGCGCCACCACCGCCCGGCATGACTTAGATTTATAATTAAGGTAAGTTTTGAATTACTTAGATGAATAGAGTTGCTTCTAGGAAAGTACTGACAAGTACATGGAAACAAATATTCAAATGTAGATGGCACATAATAAAGTTCACCTTCCTCTTCTTCACTCCCAGGTCTTCTTAGAAGAAGTCCCCTTGGATGAATTCTCTTATTCCTCAAAATTATGTTTATTTTGCCTCTATTTCTTAATTTACTTAATGTAGTACATTTGTCTTTATATTAGTCAAGAAATTTAGTTTGCTACCTCCTATATTTTAATTATAGATATGTATTTTAACTGTGTCTAGTTTCTTCATAATTTAAAACATTACTTCTTAACACATCTGTGCTGTGGGATGTCTTTCTCTATGCTGTGGATAATTGTTGCTCTGATTGGTTGATAAATAAAGCTGCATTAGCCTATGGCAAGGCAGCTTAGAGGCAGGTGGGAAATCTAAGAAGATATATGGAGAAAAGAAAGGAGAGGAGGGAGAGATGCTTAGCCGCCACCCAAGGAGAAGCAAGATGCCAGCAGACCGGTGATGCCACGGCCACATGGCAGAACATAGATTAATAGAAATGGGTTAATTTAAGATGAAAGAGCTAGCTAGAAAGAAGCCTGCTAAGGGCATAAAGTTTGTAAATAATATTAAGCCTCTAAGTGTAGTATTCCTAATTATCTTTACTTTTTTCTCTTCTCCACTCATTATATATCTCAACTCCCATCAGATAAATCATTCTTCCTGTATTTTCCAAAATTTCAGTGTTTAAATTCTCTTGTGATTGTGATTTTCTTAAAACTTTTTTTTTGAAAACTAGGTCTGAACATTGACAGCCCAAAACTAAAATTATGTGACTATTATTTATTGCACACCTAGGAAACACATGACTTTGAGAGGAAAATGTAGTTCTGTGTCACACAACCTGGGTACTTGAAGAGGAATGCCAAGCCAGAAGGTACATCAAGTCACTCCTTGCACTCCGCAGGTTGTGAAAGATGCTTCTCTGTTGCAGCTTAGTATTTTCAAATATCCTCAAACTAGAAGTCTGGACTGGCTGTTCTCAAGCATGGCTGCACACTGGAATCACCAAAATAATTTTTATTTAATTTAATGGAGTTTCTAGTGTCGTTCAGCAAACAGGAAAGATCAGCCACTTGACTTCAGTGAATACCCAAATCTGAGGCTCCTGACTATTAGTGCCAGTCATGTCTAGCATAGTCAAAGACAGTGAAATGCAGAGTCTACCAACAAGAGTAGAGAAATGAGCAGTACCAACGGAAGGTTTATACATGTTTTATTTCCTTTCCCATTGCTGTGCATCCTTCACAACCAACCCCTGGTAAGTATGTTTGTTAAAATGCCCTTCTCCCCCCCTAGCTTCTGAGCCGCTTTCCTCAGCAGTTGCTGTGTGCATGGGGGACTGGCTTTCCTTTAAAGCCTGTTCTTTCTCGGGGGTGTGTTCTGGAACATGGGGAACTGGAGGTATTCAGAGACTATTGTGTGACATGCTCATACTCGTGTTTCAACAGCTGATTCAGCTTTTCTCCTGTGTGTGTGATTCACGTATATTGTGTTTTAAGCAGTTCAATCAAACTTTATCTAATCCCCAGGGTTGACTGACGAAGCCTCTCAGCTCTCCAACCAAAATACTTAGGAGAGCTGGAGGCTGGCTGGTGGGTGACAGGATCTAGTAGGTGTAGGAGGCTGTGAAGAGTGACTGGGTGGCCGCAGCACCTGAAGAGCCCGTGTGAACATACTGTCCTTGGGCTGCCTGGCAGTTGGCCTAAAAAACAAACGTAAGAGAAGATACTGAATTAAGGAACCACAGCCCCTGGCTGGATATTCTCTGCTGCTCATTTGAAACCACCTACACGTCCATTTGATTATTTTAACTCTTTCTAACAATGCTGCTGAATATTGCTGTTGGTACCACCTCCTTCTGTCTTCTTCCTTGTTATCATTTGAGGTTTGTGTGGCGTATTGCCCATCGCTTCCCTCCTTCGTGTCTTTCTGAGACCAATAACAGTCTCTTACAATCTGGTATCCTCTTGGTCCTTCTACCTTCAGTGACCCTCACTCCCCAATCTCCCTCTTGCCTCAGGCTCCTTTTACTTTACATTTATTCATACCATCCTCTCTCCTAGTTCTTTAAACTCCAAATTCCCTGAGAACAGTGCCTGTGTCTGACTTGTTCTCCCCGGTACTTGCCTCATCGAGCATATTTTAAACCTAATATTTACTAGTAGACTAAAAATTATTTTGGCTCTTGTTTCCCCTGAACACCTTTCTGGGTCTTTTCCCAACAGTACTCTTTTGTTTTTAAATAGAATATCTTTTATTTATTCTTTGACAATTTCATACATGTGTATATATATATATATATATATATATATATATATATATATATATATATATATATATATATATATAAACCTCAACTTCTCTTTCCTACTTCCTCCAGGAATTCCCAACACTTCGCCTCTGTGCTTCATGTCCTGCCCTTTTCAGTTTTTGTTAATAACCCACTGAGTCCAGTTAGTACTACATGTTAAAATTTCTAACAAAATTCTCAAATGGGCGCCTTTCCCTTCTTGGTTGGAACTTTTTTGTTGAGGGTCCCTGGTATGCTCTTCAATGCTAATCTCAGGACCTTTGATTTAATTCCTCTGTAGTATGTTACATTGACTCCTTGAAACTCCTGTATTTGTTTCTGGAATCCTTGGTTCATCCTACTATATAACTGCTGATTTTCACCACATCCTTTCTTGCTCATATTTCCAAATGAAAGGCATCTCAAGTTCAGGCCTTGATCCTCCAACCTTCCCTCTGAAGTGCCTTGATTGATAATGCCTTTTCTATCTTCTATCGTCAACTCTCTGACTAGGAGAGAAAATCAAAACCCTTTCTAACCCCAACCTTCCTATTTAGCTGTTATATCACATTTTTAACACTTAATAAACACTATCTGTAGGAGCATTCATGGACTGTAGGGAATCATGCTTCTCCAAGAAAGACAGTAAGGTCCCACATATCAACTCTATGAAGAAGATAAAAGCGAGCAACTTCTTACCAGGGCTCGCTTCATGAAAGCTTCCTGAGTTGCCTTCTTGTTTTCAGCCTTGCCACCCCAGGCAGCCAGTGCACTAGCCTGGAGTGCTCTTCCATATGAGAAACTCAGTTTCCAGGGCTTTGGCAGAGGGCAACGGTTGATAGCATTGAGGTTGAGTGTAGCATCCTCCTCACTCATGCCTCCAGACAAAAAGCAGATACCTGGAATGAGAGAAGCCATTCTACTACATTAGTCCCAGTTCGGAAAAAACAAAAAACAACAAACAAAACAAAACAAGCAAAACCAAAACAAGCAATAGGCCTAAAAGAAATATAATGTCTTAATCTTCCACTGGATTTCTGTGGAAGGCAGTTTGCCCTTGCTAAGGCTAGTTGGGCTAAGAAGAGAAGGGCTTTAATAAGGAGTGTGGTGAAATGTTGAGTAAATATACATATGTGAGCCTTCCGATAGACTGAAGATACTTGTCATCACACAGTAGATGATAAACTACTGGATGCCTGTGAGGTAGAAGATGATATCTTGTTTCAAGGATCCAAACAGGCTCCACACAAATACACATGTTTGTGGCTCTCTTCCAAAAGATATGAGCTAAGACCGTAAGTCCAAGGAGAAATAAGGCATTACCAGGAACAGCTGCAGGAACAGTGCGGTGGAGAGCGGTGACAGTGGCCATAGCCACTTGCTCTGGTGTATACTTCTTGGTGCAGGCATGTCCAGCAGTCACCATGTTTGGTTTTAGCAGGGTGCCTTCAAGGTAAACATGATGATCATTGAGGGCCTTGTAGACAGCAGCCAGGACCTGAAAAACAAGGGGGCCAAATAGATGAAATTTGGAATAAATTCTAGAATCACTTGACCCCGGCGCTTCTGAATTACAAGGGTGCAAGATAAAGTAATCTCCATGTGTCTCTTGGTGAAAGCTTCTGAGACCTCCAAGTATCCTCTGGGCCACGTATTTGCAAAGCATATCATTGAGCCTAACTATATTGGACCATCTCTACCACTAGCTGTTCCTCTGCATGAACTGCTATCATGGCTCTGTTTCCTGGAGAATCCTCATTCTTTCTTCCCATTTCCTTGATCAATGACATCATTTGAGACTGCCTTGATTCAATAGTTTGTGACATCTGTACTATTCCATTTTTCTGTGGAATCTTAATGATAATAATAACATACATTTTAAAAACGGTTCT